CCCAGGCTGGAGTACACTGTTGCGATCTGGTCTCACTGCAACCTCTGCCTCCTGGGTTCAAGCGATTCTCCTGTCTCAGTCTCCTAAGCAACTGGAACTATAGGTGTGTGCCACCACACGTGGCTAATTTTTTGTATTTTTAGTAGAGATGGGGTTTTGCCATGTTGGTCAGGCTGGTCTCGAACTCCTGGCCTCAAGTGATCAGCCCTCCTTGGCCTCCCAGAGTGCTGGGATTACAGACATGAGCCACCATGTCTGGCCTCATCTCTTTCTCTAAGCAGAATTTAAAAAATCAAAACTGGTTTGTTTTCTGACCCTTGTGTGGGTTTGCATTGCAGTTCTTGTGGAAAGGATGGTCATTCTTCTACACACTCAGAATTTATTTTGGTCCCATGAAGTCCAATGCTCCAATGCAGCTGTTAACAAGCTGCCCCAAATGTTTGCAAAATGGGAGGGATACACACTGATGAGCTTATCACTCATTCATTTAGTCATTAATTCATGCATCAAATATTTATTGAGTGCCTACTCTGGGTCAGGCAGCGTCGGCCTAAGTCACCGAACAAAAGAAAGATCTCTCTCATTAGAGGGCTTGTTCTCTGGCATGCGTGCATGTGGGGTGTGGAGGACAGACAAAAATATATAAACAATTTATTTAGTATGGTACAAGGTGATAAATGCCACAGGAGTAGGGGAAGGCGGCCAAGGGAGGATAGGAGTGGATGACAGGGGGCACATTGCAGTTTAAAATAGTATAGTCCCTGTTGAGGGTGTGAAATGTGCACTAAGACTTCAAAGAGCAGAGGATATCCTTATGCCGTATCCTCTGTGTGTGTGTGTGTGTGTGTGTGCGTGCGCGCGCATGTGCACGCACTTGCATGAAAATACCACTGAAGACAGAATTTTTTTTTTTTTTGAGATGGAGTCTAGCTCTGTCATGCAGGCTGGAGTGCAGTGGCACAATCTTAGTTCACTGCAGCCGCTGCCTCAGCCTCCTAAGTAGCTGGAACTACAGGCATGCACCACCATACCCAGCTAATTTTTGTATTTTTAGTAGAGATGGGTTTTCACCATGTTAGCCAGGCTGGTCTCGAACTCCTGACATCAAGTGATCCACCTGCCTCAGCCTCCCAAAGTGCTGGGATTATAGGTGTGAGCCACTGTGCCCAGCTAGAAATTTTTTTATCAGCTAATTTGAGATATAAACCAGGCGTGGTGGCGCGCGTGCCTGTAGTCCCAGCTACTCAGGAGGCTGAGGTGGGAGGATCGCTTGAGCCTAGGAGCTCTGGGCTGTAGTGCGCTATGCCGATCAGGTGTCCACACTAAGTTTGGCATCAATATGGTGACCCCCCGGGAGCTGGGGACCACAAGGTTGCCTAAGGAGGGGTGAACCGGCTCAGGTGGGAAACGGAGCAGGTCAAAAACTCCCGTGCTTATTAGTAGTGGGATCGCGCCTGTGAATAGCCACTGCACTCCAGCCTGGGCAACATAGCGAGACCCCGTCTCTCTAAAAAAAAAAAATTGAGATATAATTCACATACCAGCCAGGTGTGGTGGCTCATGCCTGTTAATCCCAGCACTTTGAGAGACTTAGGCAGGAGGATTGCTTGACCCTAGGAGTTTCAGTCCAGTGTGGGCAACATAGTGAGAACCTGTCTTTACAAACAAAAATTAAAAATTTAGCTTGGTGTGGTGGTGTGTATCTGTAGTCCCAGTTATTTATGAGGCTGAGCCTGAAAGATCACTTGAGCCCAGGAGGTGGAGGCTGCAGTCAGCTGTGGTGACGCCATTGTACTCCAGCCTGTGTGGCAGTGAGACCCTGTTTCTAAAAGAAAAAAAAATTCATATGCCATAACATTTACCTTTTAAAAGTATACAATTGAGTGGTTTTTAGTATATTTACAGAGTTGTGTAACCATCACCATTATCTAATTCCAGAATATTTTCATCACCCTCCAAAGAAACCCATTAGCATTCACTACCCATTCCTGCCTCTCACCATCCCCTGGCAACCAGTAATCTACTTTCTGTCTTTATAGATTTGCCTATTCTTGGCATTTCATATAAATGGAATCATGGAATATGTGGGCTTTTGGATCTGGCTTCTTTCGCTTAGCATAATGTTTTCAAGTTTCTTCCATGTTGTAGCATGTATTAGTATTTCATTTTTTTTTTTTTTTTTTGAGATGGAGTCTCACTCTCACTCAGGCTGGAGTGCAGTGGCACAACTTGCTTGGCTCACTGCAACCTCTGCTTCCCAGGTTTAAGGGATTCTCCTGTATCAGCCTCCTGAGTAGCTGGGATTACAGGCATGCGCCACCATGCTCAGCTAATTTTTGTAATTTTAGTAGACACGGGGTTTCACCATGTTGGCCAGGCTGGTCTCAAACTCCTGACCTCAGGTGATTCACCTGCCTTGGCCTCCCAAAGTGCTGGTATTACAGGCATGAGCCACTGCACCCAGCCAAGTATTTCATTTCTGGATAGATAATATCTCATTGCATGGATAGGCCACATTTGGTTATTCATTTATCAATTGGTGGTGGGTGCCTTTGAATTTTAAATATTGCCAAGTGTCATCCATGAACTATAGAGATTTGCCCTCCCCCTTAATTAAGAAGTAGATGGAGGCTGGGTGTGGCACCTGTTGTCCCAGCTACTCAGGAGGCTGAGCTGGGAGGATACTTGGGCACAGGAGTTCGATACTTGGACACAGTGAGCTGTGATCACACCACTGCACGCCAGCCTGTGCAACAGAGGGAAACCCTGTATCTAAATGAAAAAAATAAAAAGACCTTGTGGGGGTAATTGTCAGGACTGATGGTGCCCTGTTGCAGTCAGCACCAGTTAGTCTCAGTTTTGGAGAAACTAAAAAGCCACTCCCTCCAGAGTCCCACTTTCCCAGGTGCCTCCCTCCTGAGCGGAAGCTCTGGGTGGTCCATATGTGGTAATAGAGATCTGTGGATTTTTTTCAAGTGTGTTTTCTACTGCACATTAAATTTTTTCAGCTTTAAAATATAACCTTGGTAAGTTGTTTACTCAAGAAAATTCTCAATGAGTTTTCTTTCTTTCTTTCTTTTGTCTTTTTAACATTTTGGGTGTGGTAGCAAGTAGAAGCAGATTCATCCTAACCAAATATTTGCAAATATCTGAACAAAGCAGTTCTGGCCAGGGAAGGAAGACTCCACGGAGGAAGTGAGAATTGGATCAGGCTTTTCAAGGAGGGGTTCAATTCTCAGAGGCCTAGATGAGGAAGGCAAAGACATGTACCAAAAAGGGGCAGGGAATTAAAAGTTTATTTTCTGGGTGACTGGGAACCTCTGAGCCCTCGAGCACGTGCTTTAGATATGTTAGTTTGGCAGCCAGCATAGAGGGTGATAATGATGTTGGACTCCTCTGGCTGCATGAGGCGAGGCAAAGTTTCCAGACTTTTTTGGGGCTGGTGTCTGAATTACAGTTTCTGGGGCTGCAAAAAGATGAACTCCATCAGAAGGTCCTCAAGGTCTTCCTCACTCCTTCAGTACAGACTTTGGACAGAGAAGCCGTCTAGGCGACACCTGTGCAAGAACCGGACACGACCCAAGCTGCAAACTGCCCCCGACTGCCCCGGCCTTCCCCGTTGGATCCTGGAGGTGGGGGTAGGAATAGAGGGCCCGGAGCAGGCGATCAAGCTTCCTGGAAACTGTAAATTGGGACGGGGGAACCCGGAAGGACGGGGCCTTTCAAGACCAAATGGCCCTAACTCCTGCACGGAACCAGGACGCACGGCGCCTCCAGAGGGGGCGCGCATCGCCTGGAGCAGGTTGCCGTCCGGGTTCCCGCCGAACTCTAGCAACCGCGAGGAGAAATGTCTGCCGTGGAGGGCGGGGTGCGGAGGGGGCGGAGCGCGGCTGAAGGGGCGGAGCGCGGCTGAGGGGGCGGAGCGAGGACGCAGGGGCGGAGTAGAGACGACGAGCGGAGGGCGGAGCGAGAATAATGGGGTGGAGCAAGACGGCGAGCGAGGGCGGAGCAAGGACGATGGGGCGGGGCGCAGACTGTGGGCGGGGGGCGGAGCTGGGATGATGGGGCGGAGCGAGGACAAAGGGGCGGAGCGCAGATGGAAGTCGGGGCGGGGGTGGGCGGGGCATGCTCGGCCTTCGGGCCCCGCCTCTCGCCGCAGGCGCGCCCTCCCCGCCTTCTCACTCCCCACGGCTGCGGCTGCGGCGGCTGAGGGCGGGGAGGGAGGGGAGAGCGGGTCACGACGCTGCCAGGGCGGGGATAACCCCTCACGTGGAGCAGATGAAAGGGCCGCGGCGCGACGGCCGGGGGAGCCGAGCGGAGCCTGCGACCCACAAAGCCGCCGCTGCCGCCGCGATGGGGCTGTGAGGCGTCCGCCCGCCTTCGGTCCTCAGCCGGCCAGCGACTATGCCCGGCCGCGCCCGCCCTCCGCGCCCTCCCGCCGCAGGACCATGAGGCCGCGCTCGGGCGGGCGCCCAGGGGCCCCGGGCCGCCGCCGCCGCCGCCTCCGCCGCCGCCCCCGCGGCCTCCGGTGCAGCCGCCTGCCGCCGCCGCCGCCGCTGCCGCTGCTGCTCGGGCTGCTGCTGGCGGCCGCGGGGCCCGGCGCGGCGCGGGCCAAGGAGACGGCGTTCGTGGAGGTGGTGCTGTTCGAGTCGAGCCCAAGCGGCGACTACACCACCTACACCACCGGCCTCACGGGCCGCTTCTCGCGGGCCGGGGCCACGCTCAGCGCCGAGGGCGAGATCGTGCAGGTAGCTGCCCGCCGCCCGGGCCCCGCGCCGCTGCAGCCACAAGATGGCTCCGGGGGCTGCGCCCGCCGACCCCGCCGCGGGCTGGCTGACTGGCGGGCGGGCGGGAGGGGCGACCGAGAGGCCGGCGGCATCCCTCCCCTGCGGGCGGGCCGGCGGGCGGACGCGGCCTCCAGGGCTGCCGCCGCGGGGGGCAAGCGCACGTGGGGGCTCTGGCTCCCGTGAGTCCCGGGGCGGGAGGAGGACCCTGGGCCCGACACCCACGCTGGGGCGGCTTCCTTGGCGGTTTGGGTATTTCGGTCTGCCTCAGGTGGAAGTCCCGGGAACTACCTGTTGAATGCCAACTTTGGAAAGACAAGTGATGAGGGATAGGTGGCTCGTTTCAGGTTGCAGGCTTTGCTTTCCATCCATGCATATTCTTTTTGGGTGCGGCCAGGTTTGTCTGAAGGGCTGCATATCATCGGCTTCTTCCCCGGAACCTGCCGCCCGCCTCACCTGGGCGCCGCTGACCCTCCTGCGGGTCTCTGGACAAGCAGCAGCAGTCCGGGGAGGAGGCGGAGCTGGTTGAGGAGTGGGGATCGGTGGTTCCACGCGTGGAGTGGCGATGGAAGGCAGCCCTCGCTGCGTGCCTCACATTATAGAGGGTACCTCCTGCCCGTCCCTCGGCCAAAGACTAATGCGAAGGGGCTGCAAATGGGGAGACGGGGTCTTTCACTGACAGGGCCTCCACCTTGGACCAAGTGAAAGAGATAGCATTCCGAAGGAAGCTAGCTAGGGAGAGCTTTGAGCTGTGCCTACTCTTTGGAGGAGGGTCTCCCAACTGAAGCTTCCGCGGTGGTTAGCTGGGTGGATGTCTTACCGCTTCGTTGGCCATGATTTTATCAACCCGTTAGACGGCCAGCGCACTTAACGGCGGTTAATATGCACACCTCGGATGGGGGCGATTTGTAAAGGTTGGCTTGTCTTTGAACCTTTGGGGTGATCTGATGTCTGCAGGGCCTAAGCTTTGTGGGCCTTCTGTGCCTTACTCTTGGTTGAGTTATGAATGAAAAGAAGGGGACTGTATGGAATGATTGCATAGCAGCCCGCAGTGTAGACAGCCTCTAACGTGGTGTCCTTTTCCCTCCTTGGGTGCAGACTCCAAGCCTTGCCTGCATAGGACAGGGAGAGTTGTGCAGCTTGACTCCTTGAGAGGCACCCAGGCCCATGCGATGAATCAGCAGCATTGCCTTAGCGGGCTCTTATCCCTATCTGCAAACTTTTGTGGGGTAAATAGAAGAGGAAATTCTTCACTGAACCCTTTGACTATCTATGTTATAATGCTTTTAGACCTAAAAAAGTTAAAATTATGATCTTCATTACTTTTAGAGATGATGCTTTGCTGAAGAGTCCTGAACATTTCAGTCACCACCTTCAAGAATAGTTTGAATCTTAAGTCTTGCTCCTTGCAACTCCTTGTCTTTCTTTGAAGCTTTCATTGTGCCCTCATGGTTTTAGAAATGTTTGATTTATAGCCTTCTAAAAAAAAAAGATGTTTTAGCGCGGCACTTGACTTTTTGAAGGAGACTTTTGAAGTTTGCGATTTTTATCTGCAGTGTTTTAACGTGTCACTCTTTCTCAACAGTAGTTTGTCTGGTGAGTGAGCTATCCATTATGAGTAGTGTTATGTTTTGGAGATAATCTTGGGTTCACCATTTAATACAAAATTAGCAGTTTAAACACCATTTGTAACTGTTTTATCCTTGTGAGTAGAGAGATAATATGTGAATTTGGCAGAAAGAACCTATTCTCTTTTGAAACTTTTTGAAGTGCTTATCTAACTCTTTTGTAGTCCATTAGCCTAGCCAA